CATAGTGGTTATGAATCGGGCTGCGAACCTTAAGGTCAGCGGTTCGAAACTACCAGCCGCTCCGCGGGAGAAAGATGAGGCTTTCTACTCCCGTCAGGATTTACACCCTCGGAAACCCTGTACAGGGTCGCTATGGATCGGAACCGACTCGACGGCACTTAACAACAACAATAACATTACTAACAATAAGAAGTACAAAATAAAAAGATGGTTGTAAGTGCAGTGTATCATAACTCAAATATGTCAGAAATCAGGGACTACTAATATAAGAAATCACATAAATATTTCAATATATATAAAATTATAGTAAAAAAAAAACAACAACCCACAGCTATCAAATTGATTCCTAATCATAGCCACCCCTCTATAGGGTTTCCAAGATTGTAAATCTTTCCAGAGCAGAAAGCCTCATCTTTCTTCCAAAGAGCAGCTGGTAGATTTGAGCTTCAACCTTGTGGATAGTCATGCAGTGCTTATCCCATAACATGGTTGTTGTTGTTATTGTTGTAAAGTGCCGTCGAGTCGATTCCGACCCATAGTGACCTTGTATAGGGTTTCAGAGGAGCAGCTGGTGAGCTTGAACCGCCAACATTGTGGTTCAAATGGCTTTGCAGTCTGGTGGATTAACCCACAGCGCCACACCACGACTCCTATAGTATGATTATTGTTGTTGTTGTTGTTAAGTACCATAGAGTCGGTTCTGACTCATCATGACCCTGCACAGGGTTTCTAAGGCTTAAATCTTTACTGAAGCAGAAAACCTCATCTTTCTCCTACAGAACAGCTGGTAGTTTCAAAATGCTGAACTTGAGTTTCGCAGCCTTATTCTAACCACTAGTGTGACCTAAATTATTTAGAAAATTATTTTTATATTTCACTTCAGTTTCAAAAAGTTGCTATTCTTTTAAAAATAATGTAAAATGAAATTATAGTTTTCTGGTTCCTTTTCATTTCCATCTTTTACATTGATCAATTTTTGTTCCTTAGGATTATGTTTCTTTCCTTCTGTGGAGAATGGTCAATCTGCATCTTCAGGACAAATACACATGGAAGGTGATATTGTAAAAATTGACTGTAATATTGGCTACAGCCTTGCAGATAATAAGACAAACATTTTATGTGCAAAAAGTGGCTGGTCCTCTTCTCCCAAATGTATCAGTAAGTAAACATAGAGTTGTCTCAGATTCCGGTATGTTTTTATTCTATAAAGGAAGGAAATTTATTATCAGATTTTCTGCTTGCTTTAATTGCTATTGTTATGTATTTGTTTTTTATTTCAGCTGGATCTGAATGGATGTACAAATTATATAATCAGCCTATTTAAATAAATCAACTGATTGCAATAATCAAAAATATTAGCAAGAATGCAGTGAAACATTTTGAAGGTGTTGTGGTTAAGTGCCATTGAGTCACTTCTGACTCATAACCTTGTAGAGGGTTTCTGAGGAACAGCTGGTGGGTTTGAACCACTGACCTTGTGGATCACAGTCCAGTGCTGATTCTACAATATCACACCAGAATAGTACCTTTATTTTAAAGTGACACTCATTTAGTATTTGTGTTAACTTTGTCAAATCAGTTGACAATAAATGCTTACAAAACTAAAGTATAAAAGTAAAAATAAGTCCACTATTAGTTAAAATGTATTATGAATATGACAGTTTTTTATATTTTTCCTTATGTGTTAAATTTAAATTCTTATACTTGGTTCAATAAACAGTCAGTATCTAGATTTTTTAAAAGTTTGTACTCCTGAGAGTAATGTGTATGAGCATCTTAGAATTTAGAAGCAGCTTCCTTTGTTTAAACAATGGCATCTCTCAGATCAGTTTGAACTCTTGTAGTTCTCCATCTTTATAACTCCCTTATAGTAGTTACTAAGGAGCTCTGGTAGCGTAGTGGTTACGAATCAGGCTGCAAACTGCAAGGTCAGCAGTTCGAAACTACCAGCTGTTCTGTGGGAGAAAGATGAGGCTTTCTGCTCCCATAAAGATTTACAGCCTCGGAAACCCTGTACAGGGTCGCTATGAGTCGGAACCGACCCCATGGCACATAACAACAACAACAACATAGTAGTTACTGGTCCAGCCTCGTGGAATTCCAGACTGTACATGCCCAATACAATATTCAACTAAGAGCCAATGATCTTCTCATGCAAATGTCTAGAGTGCTTTCTCTATGTAAAACTTCATCTCTGTTATCTGCCCTGTAAATTCTAGCTACTCTCACTTCCAGAACACTGATCTAGCTAGTCCCAGTGCAGGAAATGGATTCTTCCTTCCTGCAACACAGTCTAGAAATGCCTCAGGACAGAGACCCAGGTAGCTGTAGAAAGAACTTTGGTTTTTTGCTTGTTATATTCTTTAAGTCATCATGGTCCTGTGCAACTCAGTTTCCAGTCTCCTGGAAACATATGTTGTACAGCTTTCTTTGTCTATGAGGATGGCACGTTGATATCAACTATTATATAATGTCAAGAAATGTAAGTCTAGCTACATTTTTTGTTGTTATCAAATATTGCTCCATGTCTTCTAACTTGTAAATTAAAAACTCTAGAAAATAACAGTTGCCAACTAGGTAATTCTGACTCAGGACAACTCTATGTATGTCAGAGTAGAACTGTATACCATAGAGCTTTTAAGGGTGATTTTTTGGGAAAGAGATTGCCAGACCTTTCCTCTAAGGCACTGCTGGGTGAACTTGAACCCCAAATATTTCAGTTGACAGCTGAGGGCATTAAACATTTGCACCACTCAGAACTTCTCTAGAAAATATAAACCTATTTCTCATTATGGGCTAGCTCACTATCCAATGTTGTGACCACCAATGCCACTTTTGTTTATTTTTTTGTCTACTTTTGTTTATGTAGTTTTTGTCTACTTTTGTTTATGTAGTTTTCAAAATGTTTGGTAGTCTATGTATTCCCTGAATTAGTGCCCTCACATTTGTCCCTATTTTTTCATTGATGGCCTTCATAATTCTGGGATTCGCATTTAGGTGCTTAATGCATATTGAGTTGGTTTGTGTATAAGGTGTTAGGTGAAGGTCTTGTTTCAATCTTTTGCATATTGTTTTCCAATTCTGCCAGCACAATCTATTGAAAAGACTATCACCTCCCCATGTGATATATTTAGGTGTTTTGTCAAAAATCAGTTGGCTGTATGTAGATGCATTCTTGATTCTGTTCCATTGATCTGTGTATCTTTCATTATACCAGTACCAAGCTGCTTTGACCACTGTAGCCGTGTAGTAAATTTTAAAGTCAGGAAGTGACAGCCCTCCAACCTTATTCTTCTTCTTAAGCAGTGCTTTGCTTATCCTGGGTTTCTTTCCTTTCCATATAAAGTTTGTAATTGTTTTTACCAGCTCTTTGAAGAATGTCATTGGGATTTGGATTGGGATTGCATTTTGTGTGTAAATTGCTTTGGCAGTATTGACATTTTCACCATGTTAAGTCTTCCTATCCAGGAGCATGGTACATTCTTCCATTTTTGTAAGTCTCTTTTGTAGTAGTGTTTTGTAGTTTTCTTTGTATAAGTCCT